AACCTGCAGGAAGTGATAGGAGGAGAGAGGAGAGGGACGAGAAAGCACAAGACTACCAGAAAGGGGAGAAGTTGTGTTAGTAACATGCAATAATGGGATAAGGTTGCATACAGAGGGAGAGAAAGTAGAGGAGAGAGGAGCTCAGTGCATCATGGGAAATCCCCCGGCAGTCTAGGCCTATAGCAGCATAACTAAGGGATGGTTCAGGACTCACCTGAGCCAGCCCTAACTATAAGCTTTATCAAAGAGGAAAGTCTTAAGCCTACTCTTAAATGTGGAGATGGTGTCTGCCTCCTGAACCCAAACTGGAACCTGGTTCCACAGGAGAGGAGCTTGATAGCTGAACGCTCTGGCTCCTAGTCTACTTTTGGAGACTCTAGGAACCACAAGTAACCCTGCATTCTGGGAGCGCAGTGCTCTCGTGGGGTAGTAAGGTTCTATGAGCTCTTTAAGATAAGATGGTGCCTGACCATTAAGAGCTTTGTAGGTGAGAAGAATGATTTTAAATTCTATTCTGGATTTTACTGGAAGCCAATGCAAAGAAGCTAAAACAGGAGAAATATGATCTCTTTTCCTGGTTCCTGTCAGAACATGAAGACATGATCTTGGTGAGTCAGGGCTTACAAACTGGACTGACTGGATTCAATTGAGAAATTGTGAAAAATTCTGACTAATATGGGAACTAGACCCTGACTTAAGACTTTAGATTTGATTTATAAATATTTTTTCTATGTCTGGATCACCCCCCACCCCACTGAGGACCATCACATGACTAACTCTGACTCAGACTTAGGAACTGGACTCATACAGGATCTTAAGGACTTTGAAATGGGCTCAGACTTTATATCTGAGGACTTGGGACTTGATTCAGACATGATTTTTCTAGCACTGAGTAACAGGAATACAACCACAGCACAATGATGTTGACTCTGACTCATGCAATGAGAAACTGACCATCATGGTGACCAGGACTTACACAGGTTTAAGACAGCACCTTCCTGTCTCGAACTTACAGACTGAATGTGTATGTCTCATGGACAAGGCCGTAGTGACTTTGTCTCTCACACCGAGAAACTTGTATTTTATGTTCTCTACAGACATCATGAGAGTGACTGTCTTATGGGGACAGGACTCATACAGGATATAAGGGACTAAGAACTGACAAACACATTGAGGAGCATCCATGACCTGGAATCCACATGGTCAAGGCAGTGTTGACTCTGACTCACATACCAAGAACTAGGACTCTGACTTGGACAGGATTTTAGGGGGTTGGAACTAGGCTCAGATCTGAGAAGACTGCGGACTTGATTTTGCCTGACTCCCAGTGAGTACAGATTTGGGCTCACATTTGAGACCAGAGGAACTGGGACTCAACTTGAACATTAACAACTCTAGAACAGGAATCAAGGGACTCACCTTGAACTTAGACTTGCACTTCCACATTGGGAATTTGGGACTCACCTCAGGTATGACTTTAATGACCCACAAATTGTGGAAGTGGGACTCAGTTCAGATGTGTTGTTGACAATTCTGATTCAGACTTGAGATTAAGATGACATTGGTGACTCTTACTTAAACATTAACAACTTAGAGCTCAACCTTTGATGAAAATACTACAACACTGCTGTGTCTCAACAGGTTTAGTTGGCATCCATGTCATGAGCCCCAACGCTGGAGCTATCCCCCAAGTCTTTGTTGCAGAGATTAAATGCAGTCCAACTTAACGATGGCTGGAAGCCTACCCCAGATCAGCATCCCTTTTTCTACACTATTTCCTAAAAACAGCCGTGTTTCGAAGGCCATTAAGACAGAAAATGGCTACCAGCTGCTTTTGACACCTATTGATTTTTTTCTCCGGCAGTGATAATAATTCACTGTCACCTCCTTGATGTGCTGTCACACACTGTTTTGAGGTGAAGTCCTGAGAGGTCAGATTTGAGATATTTGTTCAACCCTTGAAAAAGCTCTGCTCTCTGAGGTCAATGCCAGAGCAGCAGATTCAAATGAGTTTCGTCCTCTGAATGTTGCCTGTCTGAATTATTCATGGACAAGCTCATAGTCCATCTCTGTGGAGGCTGACCCCACAATACATGAGCAGGTTAATGCATGACATTTTCAAAACTTTATGCTAGAATTGTGTGATTATAGCATCTTGCAAACTACGCGTATCACTTAAAGCTGCACCAATGTTTTTTTTCTTTTCAAATGCCTGTACAATGTGAAAGGTGTCGCTTGTAGGGAGTAGCCTGCTGCTGTTCCCCTCGGGTCTACAGAGCCTTTTAGCGCCTTTCAGCTTCTGGTTTTCAAATTTCTCATGGCTGTGAGAAAGTTAGCAACTAGCTGATGAAGTAGAGCTTTAAGTAGAGAGCATTTGCTTGTAAAGTGACAGAAATTTTCTCAGGAGTTGGTTGACTAAAACAGTGTTAAAAGGAGAGAATGTTGGATTCACCAGGTGGACAAAAATATGACTCCAAGTGAATGATAATGTAGATAATATTGCTTTCTGTCTGCTGGCTGCGAAATAAGAAACTGTATGCTGACACATCAGCCACAAGAACTTAAATGTGATAATTTATCAGTGTTGTGTTTACAGTTGCCCCCAAGTGGCCAAAAACTAGTGCAGTTTTTGTTAGAAATGCCAAGTCACACCTACAAATCTTTGTTTTATAGGTCACAACTTGACTGGTACTAAATGATTAAATCCGTTCATACTTTATGTAGCAGAGGACAAAGAAAAAAGTTATTTATCTAATATTTTCAGCTTTTGCAAGCCACTATAGTCTCCTGCCCTGCTGCCCTGACACAATAATAAGGGACTGGTGTCTTTATGCTGCCTTGGTGCTCAGCTCATTGACCCAAACCCAGCATGTGTCTGAGGTCTTAATGATGAGAGGAAACTGCTGAGCCTGTGGCATCATTATTGAACAGCAGGCAAGTGCTTGAGATCACCCAGAAGAGTGACGGCAATATGATGGCCAACTCACCAGCTTGCAATGACAGCTTCACCTGAAACCTGACGAACAGGCGGATGAGGACTGACGCTCTGTTGTGTCTGTGCTGCTTTCCAGGTTTGTTTGCATTTTCATGGACTGTTGCTTCAAGCATAACTTTGAGGTATACAGTACCTTTGACGCATTTTTATGCTCTCAACTTTAAAGAATATAAGATGCTCCCTAAGATTCTGGCTCTGAAAGTCTCTGTAGGCTTTAATATAGCTGAGTTTAAAAAGGCTGCAGGAGAGTGATAAGACTCTGGGATCTGATGCATTTACATGGAGTAAATACTCTGGCTTATACTCTGTGTTTTTATTACTATGCACAGGCCTCAGGGGTTTAACAGCCTTAATTTCATGTAATGAACTAGACAGGGATTATTGAATTACCCAAATTAATAGTATTTATCGGCAAATGCTCTTGCTTTAATTGATGCATATGGTGTCTTTATTGAGACGTTAGGCCAGAGTTCCTGATGCACTCCCATGTTTGCTTTTCCTCTTTTAAATTCCCCTCTGATTCAATGCAGCTTAGCATAGTGACTGTCTTAAAACAACTGTTGAATATTCATGCAGATCATTAATGGATGCGGGGACCTGAGTGCATTTCTTAAAAGCGTGCCCCTCTACCCCTTAGCTCCACACTCTGCATTCAAATAAAAAAATTTACATCTATAAACTGTACAACATGGTGTGCCGTGTGCAAGCTCATCATTTTAATTATCTTGGAGTCTTGCAGCTTGTCAGTCAAGTACATATTGGTTACCATCCATTCCATGTTAATGACCTGCACTGCTGTGCTGTTGCTTGCTGAACATTGCAGCAGTTGGGTGCACATTTTCTGAGGCTTTCCTCAGATCACCTTTTGATTCTCTCCTTGACAAGACCAGCTTGTGTAATTAAAACAGACATCCTAATTTGAAAAAGTGCACTGGAGTGTATGCCTGGAAATGCCATGAGAGCATAATTTGATCAAAGCAAGTCAGCTTCTATGACCTTGTGCAGGTTAAGATGCTGCATGGAGGTCTATCCATCACTGCCTGCTCGTCTTGGACAGTGTTCAGAAGTTTCACCTGATACCCATACAGTGTGTGCCCTCACACCACTAGGTGGCACTGTAGCTGTTGGTATAGGTATATGAAGCAATATTACTGTTGTATGTATTATTGTGTAGCCTATGTTTTGTATTTTGTCAGGAGGGAATGAAAAATAAAATCGATACAAAGGTGTGTAAGATGAAAAAAACGTAGTGCCATAATACTGATTATGCTACTACAATAATGCCTGCAACTGCAACTACTGATCTAGCTCCACTGTTAGTACCACTGCTTTTACTAATGTACTGTGAGCTGTACCAATTTAACTTATTCTACTACTACTTTAACTATTACAGATAGGTCCACCCCTGTAGTGGCATTAGTGCAATTACTGTAACTGTTACTGTCACAATAGATGGTTATAGCATCATCATTTATTTGTTGATTATATTTGTTTATCATTAATGTGAATCTGCAAAGTAAAGTTGGTTAAGGTGGAGCCAGTGTGAGCTACTTTGCATAGGCTACTAGTTAATAGTAAAATCTATAAGATTAGATTAGATTAGATGGCCATAGGCTATAGTTATCTGATAAATGTATTGGAGTAAAAAGTAGCTTACGATATTACCCCCCAAAATGTAGTGGAGTTGAAATATAAGTAACATAAAGGGTGGAAAGTAACTACACTACTAAGTGCACTTACTCTTTACTTACTGTAGTATAGTCTACTTAAATACTTCACTATTTTTGCTATTAGCTATTTATTTGTAATGGGTTAGGGTTTTCTCCCCTAATGGAAATAGTTAAACAACAGGTTTTAATGTGATGCTCTTGAACAGAAGCGCACATCTGGGCGTGCTCATTCCCTTCGAGCAGGGGTGTCCCCCCCCACCCCCACCCCCCACCCCTCCAGCACCCCGGCAGTGGTACGCTCCGTGTTGGATGAGTTCAGCCCATTGACCGGCAGACACTCCTCATCAGTACCACCGGAGCCCCGGACATTCCAACAAACCGGCCCTTCATTCCCCCACAAAGCCAGCAGCACCCTCCAGCTTCTCCGCCCCGTCATGAAACAGACTCTTAGCGAACTGATGAGGATGAGCAGGATATGCCGGATGGTATTTGCCACCTGTTTGGGATCCTTTATTCTGGTCATCTTTTATTTCCAAAGTATGTTCCAACCAGGTAGGATCGCCCTCCTCTCCTCTCTGTCGGATGTGTGTGTGTATAGCTATGTGGGTGTGTATATTGATGTATGGCATCTTGTCTGGCCGCCTCGTGGCATGCTGACACATCGATTTGTCCAGGCTGTACTATAACGCAGCGGATAAATAACTCATACTTGTGCCGCGTGGACGCGTAAATCACCCGGCAGGAGCGCACTGTCTTAAATCAATCATACATGTGGCACAATTACGCGACTCTGGCTTGGTTGTCTTGTTGCGCTTTTGTCCGGCTTTTGTTGAGCGGTTCTTTCTTGGTGGAAGTGTGGGTTTGAGCGTTTGGGATTGGATGTGAGCAAGCTGATCGCTCGCTTCCCCTTAGCTGACAAGTGGCATGGAGATGGTAGGGGAGGCTTTTTGTCTACAGAAACGTGACGATGGGAATCGGTGCACGGGCGGCAGTGGCGTTTGGCAAAGTGGGCACTGGCTGGCTGAAGCGAACCCCAGATTGATCCACCTAGATGTTCTTACATTTGGATCGAGAGCAAAGACCAGGCTATATTGAAAAATCTAAAAATAGGCTAAACCATCTTTAGGGAGCATTTAAGACTGTTGTCCACTCTAATCTGTGAGACCCGTTTCATAATTTATCACACATTAAAGACAATCCTCTCCATGCCAGCTGGGGTTCCAGGGGGAGCATTTGCATCAAATTATGTCAAACTACAACTAGTAGATTTGGTATGTTGCTATACCAACCCTCTTTTTATAGTGAATCAACGCCCCTGAATGTGGTAATGTGGCATAAAGCAGCCTCTGCGTGCGCCAAAATCAAAGAGCCCTGCGTTCAGGAGCGCACAGTGGCGTTGACTCAGTGCTGCTGACCTACAGTATAGGTTTACTGTAACCTGCAAAAAAAAAGGCAATCTTTCTGTGTAGGCCTATTTGCTTTCCATGAACAGAAACTGAATCATTCCCAAGCTAAAATGATAATCTCTTAATGTTGCTGTTGGAGACTGTGTGTCTGCAAGGGCTCAGTGGCTGATTTTAAAGCCCCTCTATCATGCTTTATGGCATTTTTACATATTTAATGCTCCCATGATACTTCAGGTTGCAGTATCCATATAAAATTGATCTGCTCTAGTGTCCATAGATAAGGTAAAAGGCGTACAGAGAACATACAGGACTGTCAGTCTATATGATGTGAAAGCAGAGAAAAGTGAAACCTTACAGAGGAATTCCTACTGTATCTGATGTCATGGTGCTGCGGGGATAAATGATAGATGAGACATGAGATACACCAGAGAGAAAAAGCATACAGGAGCATTGTCCACACCAGTATGAAACCAAAGCAGACGTGCTGTCACAGTTCTGATCTGGAGGCCTTTTTCTGCACATCCTCTGGCTCTGTGTGAGTCACCGGTGTTGCTACTGGCAGTTATGGACAGTTGATATTTCTAATCACCACAAAGAAAATCATCATTACACATCCCTTCAGGGGGGATATCATGATTTAAATGACTGCACGGTAATATTAACTTGATTTGTTCTTTTCCAATCACTATCCTTGTAAGAATATAATCAAATTACTGAATCAATGTTTGGAAAGGCTTAGATCAGAGGTACCTAAACCTTTGCATGTCAGCGATTGCTAAATAGATTAATGGACGGGACCGCGCTCAACCTTTCTGTATTGTTGACATTGGCTTTACTGCAGACCCCACTGCTGTATGTGGAAAAATGATAATAATAATTGCAACATTTTTCCCTTTGGTTCTATTTTTGCTTCTGACCCTAATAAAACCCAATATGTGGGAAAGCATTGAAGTGGTAACCTTTGCTTTTGCCACAAACTAGGCTCACACATTTGATGACAGCAAACAAATAAGGACATATTTCATGATTTGTGTTATATGGGCTGTAATTGAACAGATATATGCTTATTTTGTTTGCCAAAAAGTAATTCACAGACAAAGAAATGTACAGCGTGTTTTCCTACACAGAGACATGACTTAGATTTGTGGTTAATTCAACTCAAACAGGACATTAAGGCTAAAAGGTCAGTATGAATTATCCAGGGTGAAGTGGACACTGGAAAGAGATCTTGTTCCTGGAAAGAGATCTTGAATTTTCAGTTCTGTAAGCACCTCTAATAAAATTTCACTGAGCTCCATTGCATTGGAGTGGAAGCAGCACTCTCACTACATGCCTAGATACCCCACGACGTAGTGGAGAAAATACTGTCTTTTTAAAATTTTAGATGACTTAACCCTTTCAGCATTTAATAAGATCCTGTCTTAAGAAAGCCCCACCTGAGAGGGGCCTCTAGTCGGACATAATTTAGCTAAGAATTAACACAACTGTATCCTGTAGCAGGAACATTGTACAGAGCAAGACCTCTCCTCTACTGTACATCATTAAATGAGCTTCCAGGCAGGGAATTGATTTTAAAAATTGAACCTAGACTCCATTAAACCCTTGTCAAGGACCCCTGGATCCTGCTCTCACGGTTGTGCCAATCTCTGCAGGCATTGCATCAGTCTCTGCCTGGCACACACACACACACACACACACACACACACACAGTGTGAAATGTGAATGTTTTGTTTTGGTGATGACAGGGTGCTGCTCTGTAACGAAAAGGATATGTCAAAAGCAGGGTGGCTGAGAAGGAGCTGGTATAAGTTTTTGCAGTGTGTATTAATGCATGATTACACGGTGAAACGGATCCTAGTGATTATTATGTGTGTTAGTGTTGTTGGCTTCCTTTAAAACCAGTTTTCTCATCGCTCTCTCAATCTGTTTACTGTTTTTCTGTAAATAACCGCTGATAGAAACAGTGAAGAATAGGGAAGAGTGAAAAAGGTTTACCCTATCTTTTTCACTCTTCCCTATTCTTCACTGTTTCTTTCTCACACACACACACACCACCACACACGGCAGCACCATTGTTGTCCATCAGATAAAGTTCCAGGCAGCGTCTCCCTGCTTCGGGTATGTTTAGTAGGCCTGGGAATCCTGTCTGGCCTCTCAGTGTAAACTCTCACCTCTCTTCCAGGACCTGCGGGGTCATGACCTCTTGTAAAAGAGAAAGAGGAGGGGGGAGACACACAGTGGTTTCACACTGTGGCATTAGCTAACACACACACCAAGCATGGCTTAAGGACTTGCAGTATATTCCAAACACAAATGGATCTGAAGTATTCATACTACAAAAAGTCAGCTTTGTAGCCAAAAAGGAACACCACATTTGGCTTGATTGAGAGTGTGAAAATTAAATTTTAAACTCTACAATGACTTGATTTTTCACTTCATTGCTCCCACTGAGACTCACAAGCTCTTCCATCTGGCGTGGAGACCAGAGAACGAATAGACCTGGAGAGACTGTGAATGCACTGGCAGCAGCCTGCAGCGCTGTATTCGACAGCAGTTTGAGGACAACGCCAAATTATATTTTGTTTGGAGTGTACTGCCAATCTTAGTCAAAGCAGACCGAAAGCAGTTAAAACAGTATTTAAGCCAATTTTCAGTCTCTCTGTTTAAAAGGAATGCCAACTTTTTGTAAAATAGTGATGTTGTTGTGGTGGCCGAGGAATGTCCAGACAGAAGTTTCTTTTTTCAGAAGAAATGATTTACAGATCAGTTTTTTATTTATTGGTTATATAAAAGCACAGCTCAACCAAATTGCAAAAATATATATCCCCTTACTCCTGGTGCGGTCTAGCCAACGGCATTAGGCGTTTTCAGTCCGGAAGAACTTTTCACAGTTGTAGAACAGTTGGAGGACCGCTTCCCCCTTTTCATTGTGTCTGCACTGCAAGAACTGGGAACAGTCGTAGTTCTTAGAACGCCATTTGAGTGGATTTTTAAGCTCCTTCTTCAGAGTAGGTACTCTTCCAGCACAAAAGGAACCTTGAGTGACCTAAGTGTACGTTGATTGGTCGAACACATGAGCCAGGTCCTTATCGCCAAACTGCATTTTTAAAAACCTGTGTTAGCCGTGTCAACAACAAGACGGTCGCCTTAAAAAATGGCACAAAACATGGACAAATGGACTTTTAGCTTGCAGAAGTGACATTGCTATACCAACGGCAGGCCGGCTTACCTTCACCGATTCCACTGGCAGTGTGAATGCAAACAGAAAAAAATCCCTTGCAGGTATGCAGTTCTCGAGGGAGCAGGTCAATGGGCCTATCTACCTATAGGCCTACCTTTTATGCTGCTCAAACTGCTGCACCATAAACTAAACTGCATTCACCTCTTTTGTATTCAGTGTGAGGCAGTAATGCAACACAGCTTGAGGCAGAAATCTCAGAGAGATAATTAAAAACCTGGACAAGTAAAACCATGGATAGATCATTATTGGAGCTAAGTGATGTTAGTGAACTGAAACTTTAATACGCTGGATACTTCAGTACCAGCACAGAGCTATCCAACAGAGACTGGTGAGTTTGGGCCAAACCTCTCATCGTGTATTGGTTACTAATTGGCCAAAATCCCAAAAAGTCAGTGGAGTCCTTTAGTTCGAAATTGAAATGAAATATCCAGCGTTTGGAAACAAAATGACTGCTGGCGTCATAATATAAGCTGGCATTAGAAGATCACTCCAAGTTATTTAAGATGCTTACTGACAGCAGTCCTGTCTGCCCGCCTGAAATATTGAGTCGTGAATTTCAGGCAGCAAAAGCTTTTTCCAAAATGAGTGTGTGGGGTTTTTTAAAAGAAAACCCCTCCGTAGATTCCCAGTACACACATTGCTGCAGACGCACAAACAGACACAAACAGCCTGGCATGAAACATAGGTCATTTGTGCCAAATGAAGGTCGTCATGGCTGTTGGTATATTTCAGCCAGAAGGGCCGGCTCGTTTAGTTTAGCCTCAGGTCGCTGACAGCTGTGAGTGAGAACCTGTGCCTCCCCACCTCCATCTTGTCTCTCTAAATTCACTTTGAGCCTAAGGTTACTTTGTGCCCATGACAGATCTAGTCTACCTCATCAGTCTGAGTCTCTGCTGCTCCTTTAA